TGATAGGCTTTAAGATGTTCGTTGTGTGGAAATCAACTTTTCTTTTTTAATTAAATATCTGATTGACTGAACACCAAGTTGTACTGAACTCGTCACGCTGAGTTTATGTACCGTATTAAATCAACAGCCTTTGTAAAAATTATCACGCAGAATCATACATTCCATGAATCTACCTGACAATTACCCAAAACTTGACAAAATCCACGGAAGGAAACCATCTGCCTTGTTAGTCCATAAGAAAAGGTCAATGATGCAAGTACGGAAAGTATCAGGGTTAGGGTGTAAAATCAGCACGGTGGTAGGCAAATTAATGGAACTGATTCACTGAGTATATTCAAAGTCCACCCCCCTCCTCGGTGCCCACCTAGGAGAAGATGACTGGAGGAAAATTTGTCGAAACGATCAAGGCGCAATATGAGTTAACTGTAAGGATAATCACATTTCCAAAGTCTAACGTCAGCCGGCAGTGGGAAAACGGTCGTCGTGGAGAACTTTGGAACTTGTGGTATCAAGTTCCATTCCAGCTGCCGCGCGTCATCCTCCCTCCTTCAACCGCTAATAAGCTGAGAAACACTTCCCAGAATATTGTACCACCTTCCATATGACAAATAAAAATGAAATAAAACATTGTTATTCAACCAAGAGATAGATTATTGTCATATACTAGTAACCTCCTAGAACAGCTCTACATTTAACTGCGGAATCGTCTAGATACCACTATGAGAGATACAGTCAGGCGGTCTTCCAAGCAGGAGCAGATATTTTGGAACTGTTTGTAGTTTCTGACTTTGAACTTACTTCTAGGTGCCATTTCAAAGTGCTGTAAAATGCGAAATAACGAAAAGCGTAATTACAATTCATATTCGCAAAAGAGTTTTGGACGCTAAGCTGAAAGTGCGACATACTATAACAAAAGCCCAGAGGCAGAGATCGTATGATCGTGGAATACACCGTAAATCGGTATTTCAAAAGTTATCCGCAGTAAACACAAATCTGAATGAATACCATCATTACCGACGATGTTGCGTTGTCATAATCTGAATACACATAACAACACATGTCTCATCGAATTTTCCATGCACCCCTTACTAAACTCAGTCCTAAATTACCAGTAAACTGGACAATAATAGGTATTGGATTCGTCCACACTTGTTCATCTTTAACAATGTTTCTAAGTATCGAACAGTTTTTGAAGCATACCATGACTAATCTAATTGCAATAAAACAAGTAATTTCGTGTGAATTCGCGTGCATGAGCTTCTGACTCTACTAAGTCACATTGGGACCTGAGTCGATGGAGCTTTAAAAATATCTCAGATACACAAAAAACAGACTTATTGTGTTTATTATCATAAAAAGACGTTCCCTTCGTGTCATTTCTTTTTTGCACCAACTGAGGATGATGGTACTAAATATCTGTGAAATCCTAATGATTTCCGTCTAGCACTTCTAAAATGTGCACATGTTAGAAACATCAGGATTGTGCAGCGTGGTAAACGTGCTGGATATGGTTCACCGTTATGTAATAAATAAAGGAACTGAAAGGCCGCTTTTAAGATCTGTCAGATATTCCTATCACGGTACACTGGCAATAAAGTCCAAACGGTGAGCTTACTGCAGCTTTGAGACAAGAAAAACCAACAATCTCACTGATTATGATAGGAATAATTACTGTTCTTTCCGAATCTGTTAGTTATTAGAAAGTACCTTGATAATCCGGGACACTATCAACATCATTTAGGAAGTTTTGTCTGCAATCCACACATCTTCATTGCTTTTTTAAGCAAATTCTCTTGCCTACTGCTAATCGTTTGGGTCATAAACCATACTGAATCAAAGCATATTCATGATCCGAATAAAGTAGTAATTTCTACAGTGTGTTTGGCCAACAAGTCTCCTTTCAGGATCCTGTCCAAAGTGAAGTCGTTTGCATTAATGTTGACTCATTTCGATTATCTTAATCAGATTCTCTGATTGCCGCTCCCATATTCTTGCAGCTCGAGATCCGTTTACAAGCATGAACTGATTCTTATGCTATTTTTATCATATCATAACTTAAACAACAACAAACGTGTGACCAAGCAGGTAAGAAGAAATGCAGAGCTTATATATTTTTCTAATATATAGTACAATAACACATCATCCAAACGAGTGGTAGGACCCGCAATGTTTGCCTGAATTGCCAGAATACTTATCGATCGGGCTGATATATAATTATATCTACTTTGTTGACAGCAAACTCTGATAACACTCTGGTCCGATTTTATCGATCTAATGAGAGCCAAAGCAAATGTGACGATGAGTTTAGTTCTGGTTGGATTGGTTTGCTACTGACCACTAACTGAAACATATCGGTTGTTGTCAGACAACGTTTGCCACTTGATCTGAACAGTAAAAACAAATGTTGGCAAACGTTACACTCAACTGGGTAATTTTGAACTGATTGGGTCATTCAACGCTGGTTTTATAGACCACGTATTGACGAAAAGATAGTGTCGACTATGACATTTTCTCCACACTGCTAGGGAAGCTGGAAACTACGGGTTGAGAAAAAGTAGAGATGTCCCTGTTCAGGTATCAATACGTTTACGCAGTAGAGATTCGAGTACAACTGAAAAGTTGTCAATGTTAATATCAAATCTTATAAAACTGACCTGTTCCAAACACAGAACAAGCCTGTTTCTCGTTGGAGATAGGTCACTGGTTCAGTACTGGCCCAGACAGATAATGGTTGAATGGTGGGTTAATAACGGTATAAGAATGCTGGACGTTAACAATGCGGGTGGGAGTGAAGCGCGAGTCATGCTTATCGAGCAAGGTCCATGAAACTTCATTGTGAGTTGGGCATATATGATAGCACGAACGGATATTGCAGTCAGCGGCTCACACGGACTGCCAATCCAGGAAAGGTACACTAATGTATAATATTTAAATGCATAGTTGACAATATCGAACACACCCTTTCACTCAAATGATATCATTCGTCCAGTTCAACCAACTTTCTCCATCAGCTTGAGCACATTCGACAAAATTTGGAGCACTCCCACTTCTTTAGCAACCGGAACATGTGGAATAATGTGCAGGATCACGGAAAGAGAAAGAGAACGGCCAGGAGGTTGGTGCCAAGGATACTCAATAAAGTCAGTCCTATTTGCTGTAGGAAACTGACCGTTTAAAATACTGCAAAACAGTCCATGGTGGCGTGGTCCGAACTGCATCTCTCAAGCAGCTTATCATCGGAATATTTTGCTTCCTCGATGTGCCGTTTTTATTCTACCTGATTCTGAAAGAGATCCACTATGTTTGCAGTAGCCAAACCAAAAATAAATTTGTTGTTTCATGAGGCTTATAATAATCAGTAAAACAACCAGTACCATAACAGGCATTGAAAAAGTGAAACAGATGAAAAATCATTCAGAAATAAGAACCAATAAATTCACCCGTTGAACATCAACAAATGTCATTGCTGATTGGGATTTGCCAATTTAAGACACCTGAATTTATGTTCTAGCTGGTTACACCATAAAATACAATGAGTCCGCCGACTAAACAGATGCCACTACCGCCTGAAATAAGGCAATAACTTTAACTTTGTTCGGCAGTCGTTTGAATAAAAGTCAAAAGGTAATCGGTATAGAGAAAGTTTTGGCTGATTTCTCAGGGACTTAACGTTGTCTTCCGATATAATCTATGAGAGGTGAAGTGGCAGCGATTAGAAAAATAACATGTAGCATTTGTTCACGCAATAAAACAGAAAATAAGCCGAGCTGACAACTCCGGCTCGATGTAAGTTTATTCTTGACAAAATTCAGCACTCGTCTAATTTGTACCTGAAAACCACTGTGAACAGTCCAGTGGTGACCAAGGGTGCAACTGGTTACTTAGGGTATACAAAACGGCCTCCTGATTAAATAACCACCACATCTCAGTTAATTTTAACGCAAAGAAATTAACAATTTTGTGGATTTATATGAAAGTTCGCGGATTTCGCATTCAGTAAAATCATTTTTACTAATTTTCACCTTTCTCATATCAAACTTTGATCAAAAGGTAAGACCCTAAGTGTTTTTGGAACCAACTGCCGATCAAGTTTTTCTATTAGACCTAAAACAACAAATATATATATATATATATATATATATACCATCGAGAAGTTAAGGCGTACACCGAGTTGTAAGACCTGTATGGTGAAGTTTTGATCCACTTGGGACTCGTTGTCAGACAGGACTGAATCAGCAAAGCACATCCACTTAACCCCAGCCGGGATTTGAGCCCCAGGGGGAAGATTTTGAGCTAAATATCCTAATCACAAGACTATCCGGGCCAACTCTCAACTGTTTATTGAACTTATACTGTGAATTATATAAATGTGCGAGTACACTTGACAAACAAACCAACATAAGTTAGCCTGTTTTGCATAGGCAACTTAAAAAGGAAGGAACAGTTGCAGAGCACAACTTATGCACCCTACCTGTTCTGCTTTTCTGGGCCATAAGGATCCAATATTTCAGTAATTAAAGTAATGAAGACGAACTTGTTCACAACCACGTCGTTTTTGCCAGTTCCATGATATAATGCAGTCAGTTTCAAATACAAGAATTTTTGTGCTGGGCCAAACTAGTGAAAAGCAATTTGATATACTTTTTGAATGATTCTGTTCAATATATTAAAAACAATTCTGTGGTATGCTATCAATAATAGTAGACAACTGATCAATAAACTGATTCCTTGTCCTCTGGATCAAATTTCGGGATGAAATGAGATGTTCTGAAAAATCAATGCAACGCGCAAAATGACATGGGATATCTGTTTTTGTGTTATGGTTATCTGAAGGGACAAAGTAGGATTACTGGGTGGGAATGAAGCCAAAGAAGTGCTCAGTTTCTAAACAGCAATTTTCGATTGGTTTTCGACGGAGAATCGTACACAGCCTTTGGTAATGAAAACTGCAAAATTGCACGGAATAAGAAAAGTTCTGTGGAATGAAAGAATCTCTCAGTTTACAACTGTGTTCCGAACACATTGAGGTTGGAGATGAATTGAGGATCCTTGAAAGAAGGATAGATGAAGAATTTTTTGGATTAGATGCTCACCTTGCTAGATACATTGACAAATTCTTCCTTAGATATTCGGCCGTCTTTGTCCACATCGTAGGTCTGAAGTTGAGAGCAACATAAGCACTTCCAGTTGTAAAAAAACGAGCAGAATATTAAGAATTTAAAACTCTCTGATTGTCGGTAATTTCTGCGTACGTTTACTTATAAATTTAATAGGCAACCAGCCTTATAGCCAACAGAAACTCGCGTAAACGCGTGCAACGATAAATCAATCAAATTGTTCCAGTTCAATGAATGGTATTAATTTTGTGACAATAAAAGAAACACTAATGGGTAAGTCCGAAAATATTTTCTCCTGATTGTGGTGGTTAGTTTTTGGTTACAGTTCGTAATCAGAGAGATGAGAAAGCCATTAACGTCAGCGCTACCTGATAGTCGGCAGATAGCGACAAGTGATCTTATTAATAGAGGCTTCAAAGCCACGTAGTCAATGCTAATGACAACCAAGAAAATTATCATACCTCTTTGCCTGGCTAAAAAGTACACGAATCAGTGTTGTTGTGAAGATTCACTAACAGCAAGGTGGGGCTGCTGCTGACAGTATATTTTTGTATGAAACCATCTTGATCGAAGGCAAATGAATTCAAAAGGATTCAGATTGGGTATGAACGTATAAAGCATTACCTTTGGAAGTGCTCCACTTTTCTTTTTTACGAAGTACCATCCAATTCACGAAGTAATACGGACTTCCAATGAATGGGTACATTGCTAGTCGGCAAGGACATCACGTTTTACTATTCTATGAAGTTAGGTCAGTACAATGAAAGTTCATGAAAACTACCCATCATTCAGTCGGTCGAAACGAAGTATCCTTTCAAACTGCTTGTTATTAGTATGACTCAAACAGGTGACTGAAACAGTCAGTTTTCAAATACAGGGGAAAAGGAGTGTTCATTGTTGTAGAATAAACAACCGTATAATAACCGGTTCAATGGCATTATTTTCTCTGGAGATTACGCCTTTCATTGGGCTTTAGTTTGCGACGAAACTCGAGGTCATAACAGCTGTATGCTGTGAACCTAGTGTGATTAGTTTCCATAGATTGAAAGGGGCTTGGAAAACATATCCAACTGGGCCTTGATTATTAGTCAAAGGCCCCGTATTGGCAGACAGTCTCACAACAAAACTCAGAAAGACTCTCCTTACATTTTTTATTCAGTCACACATGATGGTATCCTTGTACCTTCTTGATGAGTTATCCACTGACACGACCAATGCATCCAGGAACAAGATCACATGAATTGTTAATTGAACAAGTAGCTGGTTGACAGAAATCTTTAATTCAATGAATGCTTGAGTGGACTGAATGGAACACACCCGACTGGACAATAATACTTCGAGGTTCAACAAATAATAATTGAATAAAGTTCTTTACTTCATCCATGATAAACCTAAACATTTTTTTTGTTTGCAAGTTTTTAAAAGGTATTGAATATGCCACCCTTTGTCTATTTCTACTGGGGATTATTTTGTTTGAATAGAAAATCCAGGCGTTGTAAGACCTGCCTACTAGAGTGAAACAAAAGTTTGTCCAATTATGGTTCCTAATTGAATTTGTCGACAGAGCCGTCTACGTAAATTTTCATTTAGTCCTTCGTTCATTTCATTATGTCAAAGAATAAAATGAACTGTCACGCTCTTTACACTTAAGAAGATTAGGCAGTGATTTGATAGGAAGAGCGATGCACTGGAAGTGCAAATCCATGAGGCGCGGCTAGGAGGAAGCACAATATGTGCACTCTCCCAGCTGCATGAGTAAACTAAGACGTAGGAAAACGTATCCGGTGAAAGGATATTACCGAGCTTCTACAGTTCACAAATCAAACCAGGCTGCATTCGCCAAGGAGGACACACGGACATGCCTAAACATGGATTCTTTTAGCAAACACTGAATTATAGAAAGGAAGTGCTTGTTGAAGACAACTGAAGCTCAAATAAATCACCCACGAAATAGAAATACTTAAGTTACAAGATATTTTATCTAGTGTGTTCCCGTGAATGCATACGTAAACATGGAATCGTTACTCAAGAATCCAGATCATGAGAACTGATTTGCACCAAGTATATTCGGCTTCGACAAACAGCTTTCTACGGAAATGTAAAACTTTACTGAGATAACAAAGTAGGCTACCAAGTGAGGGAAGTCGGGAGAGAGGCCTTCGCGAAATCGACCTTTTTCAGATTGTAAAACAGAACGGAATCCATCGAGATGGACATTCAGTACACTTCGAACTTATCCGGTTGGTAGCATGCTAATTCAATGAAAGGTTAACGCTGGATGGTGTCAGATCAACGTGACTTGAGCTGTTTTATGCCAGTTTAAAGGTAAATATTTGCACCTTACACCACAAATTCTATTTTTAGTTCTATTTTAAGAAGATGCATTCGACCTGTTAATGAATAATAAAGTATATCCCTAGCTGTGAGACTCACTCATGAAATTTCAGTAGACCTAACAATTTATCGATCTAAATGGAGCCCTTATCCCTCTCCATTTGACAAAAAGTTCTAAACAAGAATACAGAAGTGAGCGCAGCTTCACTATATACAATAAGGGAGGCGCCAATGGATATCCGAAAGATCATATTGGAATTCTCATTACTCCGCGTAACAGTAATTTTCGCTTTCCAAAAAGGTTTTTAGAAGAATACGAATTACTAGGGGAATTTACAAACATGACTGACGTTTGTAAATTAGTTTTACGGTACTACTTTTTTCACAAAGTTTATTTCACAACAATCAGACTTGCATATCGAGAGTGTGATTGGAAGTTCCCAATCAGAGTTGGCATTTCTGATTTAAGGGCTGTCTACAAATAAGTGGACAAAGTTGTTTACGTGCTTCCGAGAGACATTTCTCACCCACCTGTAGTTTCTACCTGCTCCAGAACTATATTTCACTTGAAAATGATTCAAACCTTCTGCAACCTATTAGGTGGATCACCATAAAAAAAATTCGAACGTGAGATTGAGCAGTGTGTTTCAGTCCTGGTGCACCTCAACCTTGGAAATAAGTTTACTCGGGTAAAGTTTGCCACAGAAAAGATAGGGGAATAATAGATACAGTCGGAGAAAAAATGCAAATCGAAAAATGACAAATGTCTAATCAAATATATTCCTACGGTCTGCATAGAATGATGGGTGAATAAGCACGACTTCAGTTTGTGTCGCGTGCTTAGTTCTGGCCTTGATGATACAAAAACAAAAATGGATATCTTGCATGTGACCCACCTCTGTCAAACAAAAACCACAGACGGTCTCATTCAGTTGGAAAATTTTTTTTCACAACTTTGTCTGTAGTTGTTTGATAGACAAAATAGAACAAGTTAACCGAGAATTAAGCACTTTTCACAGCATGAGCGTGTACCTCAATCATTCATCTCACCGGAAGTGGACACACTGAACTAAAAGTAAAACTCGCCTTTATTTTGGATTGCGAAAGCAATAGAAAAGTAACCCACTTGGCTAGTTTGATATTTACATGACCAAGTATTTCGAGTTATTAGAAAAAATGACTTGTTATACCCTGCAGATTTGGCCTAAAATGTCACCATGACCTGTGTTTTGCTTAAATCTGGTAATTAAGTTGAAATGAAAAAAAAACTAACTTGATGAGAAACCCAGAATGTTGGAGTCACCTGGTGGTTGGAAAAGCATTCAAACCGTACAAGTGGTAGATCTATGTTTTTAAGAAAGTAAAAAAACCGTGGTTATCATAGAATATACTCAGCGATATCAGGAAAAGCTAGTGACATGGGTAAATGTTTTCGATATATCACTTGCAGAAATTCTTGTACCTGAGCAAAAGTCACTAACAAATTATAACGTGAATGATTCGTCCTCCTTGTGAAGATGACAAAACATCAGAATTTGCATGAACTGACTAAGCTTCCTCTAGATGGGGAACCCCTATTCACAGACGTTCTGTTGATCGTGATGATAGATTTCATCTAGTAATACCTGACTGATAATGACATCAAACTCGATATTCTCGTGGTCAGGTGGAAAGAACTATTTCTTAGGTTCACATGGAATATACCATTTCTATATCATAGGAAATGCTATAGGCAGAAGAAGGGACGGCAATGGGATCACCGCTGAACCTCTTCTGACGAATATATACTTAGTCAAACTCGAAGGTAGAACAACGCCCAGTACCATCGATAGTTTGTGTTTGTATACCAGAGACATAAGCTTAAATTTCATAATTTGCTACTCAACAACGGATATTCCCGAACTGCTGCGGACTTTCGGCAACTTCCACGAAATAAAAAAGTTCACCTTGGAGATAGAGAAAGAAACGTTTCTTGCTTTTCTTGATGTGGGATTATGATGAATGAAAGATGCACATATAGAAGGGGGGGGGTATCGGTAAAGTATGTGCGTAACGCAATGTACTGATTTCTGGAGTTTTGTCTCTCCGCGATACAAAAGAAGCCCAGTGGGCTGTCTAATCTACATAACAAGAATATCCGTAGTCCTGATGCGACTGCCTAGGAAACTGAACACATAGGTGACGCGCTAAAAAGGAAAGGGAATCAAGAACCGCTTGTTCGTCAACGTATGAAATAGAGGATACAAGAAACGAGAACGTAAGTGAGTAGGAGGAAAGAAGTCTTCCTGAGTGACCCGTTGAAAAGTGATAAAAAATAATCACAAATATCTGAGCTAAACGAGATATAACGTCAGTAACACTGCGTTGTCGGTGGACAATTATAAGCCGACGTTTCGGTTACTGTGGGTAACCTTTCTCAAGGCAGTTTTACAATCAAATGACTGAGGAATCAGTTACCAGTCAATGGTGTGTGTTTGCGTGTGTTAAATCCTTTGTCGATTAGATTGATCGGATTTTAGTCACACCGATTCCCATTATCCGAGCCCGTGGTGACGAGGTCAAGTGTCGATGTGACCTTTGGGTTGTTTATGTGTTAATGATGTCAGTGCGGTCCAAATTCCCTGAATCTCTGCCCCGTCATTTCGGTTGAGCACACATCGTGGGTGCTAATTGCCAGAGCTTCGGCATACAAGCGCTCAGTGCAT